ATCTTGTACACTATAGCAAATTTACCATCTTGTACACTATAGCAAAGTTACCATCTTGTACACTATAGCAAATTTACCATCGTGTACACTACAGCAAATTTACCATCTTGTACACTATAGCAAATTTACCATCGTGTACACTATAGTAAATTTACCAGCTTGTACACTATAGCGCATTTTACATCTTGTACACTATAGCAAATTTACCATCTTGTACACTATAGCAAAGTTACCATCTTGTACACTATAGCAAATTTACCATCGTGTACACTATAGCAAATTTACCATCTTGTACACTATAGCAAATTTACCATCGTGTACACTACAGCAAATTTACCATCTTGTACACTATAGCAAATTTACCATCGTGTACACTATAGTAAATTTACCAGCTTGTACACTATAGCGCATTTTACATCTTGTACACTATAGCAAATTTACCATCTTGTACACTATAGCAAATTTACCATCTTGTACACTATAGCAAATTTACCATCGTGTACACTATAGCAAATTTACCATCTTGTACACTATAGCAAATTTACCATCGTGTACACCAGGGGTTCCCAACCTTTTTACTTTCTCGTATATACGTAGTATAGAGAAAGTATTGTAATCGTGCAAAAAAAAAAAAAAAAAATCGAGATTTTTACAAATCTCGACGTTTTACACCTCACTGATACGGAAAAACATAATTTTGCAATCTTGTCCGTATGTCTGTGTGTGTGTGTGTGTCTGTGTGTCTGTGTGTCTGTGTGTGTGTCCGTGTGTAAACACGATAACTTGAGTACCGTTACAGCTAGGTTGATGAAATTTCATATATAAGTATTATATCAAAATCGTAGATCCGTATCAACTTTTGGGCGATTTCCGACAACCGGAAGTGGTACTTTTTCTACTTTGAATTTTTCAAAAGCCTATAACTTGAGTACTATTTCAGATAGATAAATGAAATTTCACATGTAAGTAAAAGATCTAATTCTCTACCTTCTGTTAAATTTTGAGTAATTTCCGTTGACCGGAAGTAGTAATTTACGCTACTTCCGATTTCTCAAAAAACTAATGTAAATTTTAAAAGTACTAATAATATTGCGCACTATTATGCGCTTTTTTATTTCGCGTTCACTTGGTGTGCAATTAATTTGTCTACGAGATTTTATTCTATTTTTAAAACTTTAAGCATTTAAAATGGATTAAAAATCATGTCTATAGCCCGAGTTCCCATCCCCTGTTATTTTATATAAAAATATTCGAGAAAGTTTAGGGGAGATCACTCCCGGTTTATTAGAAGTTTAAGTAAACAAAAATCATATCTATATTCCGAGTTGACATCCCACGTAGTGTTATATTAGAATATTCGAGAAAGTTTAGGGGAGATTACTCCCGGTTTATTTTACTCTAGAGCACATTCTAAAATATCGGTAGGGTGGCGGGCACCACCTATTTGAAATCGACAAACTCCTACCAGAGGCGTAGCACCCTTCCCGTCACCCGGGGACAAAACTTTCGATTTGCACCCCTCAAACTTTCGATTTGCACCCCCCCCCCCCTCAAATTTTCGATTTGCACCCCCTCCCCCCTCAAACTTTCGATTTCCATTCCCTTCAACTTTTCAAAAATGTTTATGACAAAAATTCTGTCGCTGTCGAATAGTGAGAGGCGGGCACATACGAATCGTTTGGCGGGCGCCATGGCGCCCGCGGGCACTGGGTTGGGAACCCCTGGTGTACACTATAGCAAATCTACTATCGTGTACACTAAAGGACATTTTACTGCATCATTTACTGCTTTGATTTTGGTCTGTTTTGTTGCCAGAATTCCTCCATATAAGACGTCAAGCTTTTAAAAAACGATTTTTACATCCTCCTCTCCCCCTCTTTCACATAGTCACACGTCGTCACCCCCACGAATTGACGTCACGGCTCAGCCTCCACCCCACCGCATTCCCCGTATCTTCCTCAAAAATTGAAATTTTTGTTCTTAAAATATATTTAAAAAAAAAACAACTTACTAAGCTCGGTCAATATTAATTAAGTATATTGATCAATTTTTATTACAATGTACAGAAACATTATTTTAAAATCTGAAAATCGGGGTCTAGTTAAGTTTGTAACATAACTTCGAAAACGTGCGAATGTGTGTCTTCATACTTTCTGAACGCCCCCCCCCCCCCACCCCTTCCCCTCGTCACATTGTCACAAAATCCGAACCATCACTCCCCTACATGTGCGACCCTAGAGACACCTGTCCCTAAAGGGAGGTCTAGGATAAACTCAATTTAACAGGAACTATTCATCGGATATTTAATATTACCACCTAGTCACACGCATGATTTAAGGTGACTTCTATATCTAACAATAGCAAAATGTAAATAGCCGGCGTTAAAAAAAGGTTGAAGCGGATTGGGGAAGATTAATCCGCCCGTTAATACAACATGAGTATATATAAAAAAAATTCTTTCAGTATTTACATAACTATGGCACAGAGGCGTAGCGATGGGGGGGGGGGGGTACATATGTCCCCGGGCGCCGACCTTAGGGGGCGCCAAAATGAGTTGTAAAAACTAATTAAAATGTCATTTTAGCTTCATGTTTTGCATTATAAATAGTTTGAGGGTGATGCAAATCGAAAGTTTGATGGGGGGGGGGGGGGGGTGCAAATCGAAAGTTCGAGGGGGGGGGGGGTGCAAATTGAAAAATTGCTCTCGAGGGGGGCGCCACATTGAATGTTTGTCCCCGGGCGCCGGGAAGGGTCTAAACCTGGATCAAGTCCGTAGAATGTCACTGAGTCCATCCAGCTCTGATAGGTACCTAACTCATGTTAGGGAAAGTAAAGACCGCTAGCCATAGTGCTGACCACACTATTCCTTCATGTGCCGAGGTCTTTGAACCAGATAAACTCTACTTTATCTGCCCTATGTGTCTTGGGCACGAACGGGAAAAGATGATGAAGATGATGATTAAAAAAGCATTAGTTCGATTATGTTACTGAAATAAAAACACGGTGTTAAAACAGTTCGTTTATATACATAAGAAAAATTTGGTAACTGAATTGAATAGTGTCTTCCGGGTTTGGTTTAAAAGAATGTAAAAAAAACCACCCGTTTAAAAAATCAGCATTTTAAAATCTAGGCCCTGGTACAATTATATAGAACCTCGTTACAAGGGTGACGAGGCGTTTCTTTAGCGTGTTGGTGCGGCATTCATGTGTGAAACATGGCGAATGTTGAATCGCTGGCCTGCATCTAGACATACAGACCAATCCTTGTTGGTTCAGGGCCCACCCTACAATGTAGGCGTCTACCAAAGGCGGTTTTAATTAATTGCCGTTGTGATAGATTTATCGGAATATTATTCAGACGCCGCTCGAAGTTTAGAACTGATTTTTCTGTACATTTATTACTAGGGGGATAGTGATTTCTGTACATTTATTAAAAGGGGGATAGAGACTGATGACAAAGTGACATTTACTTAGAAGGAAGGTGTGGGTAGTGGGGGTTGGTTTGAAATTACCCTGCTCAAAGTAGGTCTATATAAATTTTAATTAGGTATGCAGTGCAGAAAATGTCAAGAGCAGTGTTTCTTTCAGACAGTTTTTCCTCCAATAAGGCAGGGGGAGTGGGGGAAGGGGGGGGGAGGTTTTGAATCTCGTGGCACTTGTTAATGTATGTATTTTCTATGCAAATTATGTAATACTTTTTAGGGGCAGCCCCCCCCCCCCCTACCCGGAGATATGCCTAAAAAAAACAGTGGTCGAGTCAAGTGACCTTGGCATTGCGGAACCGAGGCGGGTTGTAACTTAACAGAAGTTAACGGTTGACTTAACGGTCAATCTTAGCTGAGATTACGGGGGTCAATGTTATCTGGGATCACGGGGGTCAAAGTTATCTGGGATCACGGGGGTCAATAGAATCGGGGATCACGGGGGTCAATGTTATCTGGGATCACGGGGGTCAAAGTTATCTGGGATCACGGGGGTCAATAGAATCGGGGATCACGGGGGTCAATGTTATCTGGGATCACGGGGGTCAAAGTTATCTGGGATCACGGGGGTCAATAGAATCGGGGATCACGGGGGTCAATGTTATCTGGGATCACGGGGGTCAAAGTTATCTGGGATCACGGGGGTCAATGTTATCTGGGATCACGGGGGTCAAAGTTATCTGGGATCACGGGGGGTCAATATAATCTGGGATCACAGGGGTCAATGTAATCTGGGATCACGGGGGGTCAATATAATCTGGGATCATGAGCCGCACAAGTTGAGCACGACCCCCAATATTGACCTGCTAGAATTTATTGTGCTGACCAGCTGTTGGCTTATGTCTAAACTGTTTCCGTCAGGTTTCTCTTGTTACCCATACCACAAAGCTGGTGACAAATGTAAATCTATGTGTGTCGAACAAAAGATGTAATCAGCTCTACAATTACACGTACACGTTTTTTTTTTGTGTAATCAGCTCTACAATTACGCATACACGTACACATGTGTATCAAATGTTTCGGTTCGTGTCCTGACACATGGGGCTTAAAGTAGAGTTGATCTGTTTCAATGAACTCGGAATAAAAGGGGATAGTTTGTTCAGCATTAAGCCCAGCCGCTTTAGTATCTCTTACGTGAGTCAGGTACCCATTAGAGCTGGGTGGACTCATGGACATCATATAGACTCGAGCCCTGGATCCGAACTCTAGACTTTCAGGTTAGCTGTCGTAAGCTCTACAATCCAACCAACGCGAGTCAGGTACCCATATCAGAGCTGTGTGGAATCGTGGACGTCCTACAGATTCGAGCCTAGGATCCGAACTCGATCTTTCGGGTTAGCTGTCGTAAGCTCTAAAATCCGACCACGCCGTCCTTACAAATGTATATACGCATGCATAATAAATTATATTTTGTACATTATTTCATCTCTTCTTTCTAATCCCAAATTTCGTTCACACCACCGTATGTGGTAACACGATGACGGAAGATTCAGGTTTCTTGATCTTTTCCATCCACAGAATAAATGTATCAGTCAATAGAACCAGTGAACACCATCACAAACTTGATGTTTCAGGGTCGATAACTAACATTAACACGACCAGTGAAATGAAGAGTGAGCTCCCCGTAGACCGAGGATGGGCGTGGGTGATTTGTTTCGGTGAGTCCCCAGCACTTCATCAAACTTTTTAAGTAATTGTGGCATTTGTTAGACAGATGCTTTAAAACCTGTTATCTGTTATTTAAATATGTCTTTAAACTCAGTTAAAATAAAGTTTGTTATAAAATGTTACTTAATTTTTACCTGTCTATTACAAATGGTAAACGAAATTTAAAAGTTAAATGAAATTTTCTAATTTACTAAAATTTGAAAACTTTGGTTTTATAGTTTTTTAAATATGCAAAATGTGAAAACTAACCAAAATAAATATTATAGTAAAATGTTAACTAATAGTCTATATATAAGTCTATCACTTGGGTCGGTAACCTTTTGAGACGGAAGAGCCAAAAGTAATAATTTACAAAATCTCCCAGTTTTTAAAGAGCCACTAACAATTTAATTTAAATATTATTATATTTTATTAGGATTTTATATATATGTATATATGTATATATATATATATATATACATATATATATATATATATATATATATATATATATATATATATATATATATATATATATATATATATATATATTAAAAATTTAAAATAAATAGCTTTAATATGAAATAACATTTATTCATATAAAAAATACATGTTTCGCACAGAACATTAGAATATTTTAGCTAGCTCTGCTAAAATAATAATATTTTTTAATCATATTACATAACTATAATTACCGTATACTATTTACAATAGTTGGGGCTTGCATGCTTTTGAAAGTTTGTTTAAATCTGGCTCATAACTTGTTTTCAGTTTCAAGCACGCCTCTTGGTATTATTTATTAGTTGGCTAGTTTACTTTTTATTATATTCGTGCAAGAATACGCTTCTAACTTGCTCTTGAAGTCTGTGAACTTACCACTCCTCAAGCGAACCAGCATCAATTCCAAATAGCTCAAAGTTAATCTCATCTGTTTTTTTAGTTGAGAGACTCAGAGTATTTGCATTTGTTTTGAATTGCTGAAAACTCTCAGGAATTCACCCTTCATGGTGTTTATAGTAATGCTGAAGTGATTCATTTTAATAGTAGAATTTGTTTTATCACTATATTTTTTTCAGATTTTTCAAAATTAAGTAATTTACCACTCTCCGTGTCTTAAACAAAAACGAGAAATTTTTTTTCGAAACAATTCACTTCATCAAGCAAGGCATAGACTGGGTTTTCTTTTTTCTTGCAGTTTTACATTTAAATGACGTTGAATGTTTTAATTAGGGATGAACAAATTAATAGCAAGTACATTGACATTGGGAGTAACTAAATATTCAAATAGAATAGCGAGTTTTTATTATTTATGTTTATTTTTATATCGTTCATAATCGAGTGTTGCAGAACAATATTTTTATGAGTTTTGAAAATAAATTGAATATTAATACTTGTGCATGGAGCTGAAGATCTTGACATCTAAGAAGCCGCAGGTTGCCGACCCCTGGTCTATCACAATATTGTCGAAACTGAAAAAAAAAAAAAAAATTTCTTTGTGTTTTTTTTTCTTTTTTTTTTTTTTCCTTATGGACCCAATAAATCGCTTATCGAAAGTGTATTATTTCTTGAATCGAATGTTATTCCCTGACTCCTGTGTTTACTAAATACCTCTGTTGTTACAGCGAGCTTCATGTGTTTCCTCCTCTCCGGGCTCGGCATGCAGTCGCTGTCCGTCCTTTTCCTGGAGCTGGTCATTGAGTTCCAGACCAGCTACACCACGACGTCCTTCAGCATCATGGTCCTGGTCCTAAGTCTCAGCCTGGCATGTGAGTTCGTTCCCCTGACACGGTATACATTTTTCAGAGTTGTGTCCCATTTAGAGGGCTAATAATTGCGCCCCAAACTCCACTTTTTATACAACTTTCACAATGTTTATTTGTTTGTTTGTTTATAGGTTTGTTGAAAATCTTGTAACTCAGTTTCCCCCAATTTAAATGCAGTAAATTAATTCTACTCCGATGACATTGCAAGAATATAATTTAAGAAAAACATTAATTAGACATTTAATTTAATTTTAAAAAAATACTTATTTGATTATTTAAAAAAGGGGGAGGAGGGGGGGGGGTAAAGATTGAATTCTGTTGACTGCGTTAATATCAAATCACTAGAAAGTAGAAAATAAATAAAAAATTTGAAAAGTTCATAATAATAAACTTTTAAATACACCGAAAATAAGAAAATAAAACACTTTCTTTCTTTAATAAAAAAAACAACTTAGATCGCTCATGAGATCCCTTACATATTTTAGCAACAAATGCTTTTATTGAAGAAAGCAAACTTTTTTTTAAATTTCTTAATTTTCATTGGATTTAAAAGCTTATTATGATAAAAAAGGTTGTTTTTTTTACTCGTTTGATTTACTGTCCCTGTCAGTTATATCCTTTAATATAATAATTTAACTTTTACTTGTAGTAGCCTCCCCTGCTATGACTAGATATGATTGTTTATTAGTCAGATTGGCTGATCTCCCCTAATGCAGTGTAATTCATGTAGTCTCCGCAATATAAACTAACTAGGCATACTGCCTAGCTTCGCTTAGGTTTTTAAAAAACATTTGAGAATTTGAATAGTTAATTATTTAGCGATGGATTGGGTGTGGAGTGCTTTAATAAGTTTAATTTAAACAGTAATGCTAATTTTAGAAAATAATGTTTTTGATCGTCATTTACATTCCGTACCAGGAGAATTTCTGGAAAGTACGCAATGTATAACTAAAATGGAATTAGAACTACACAGGTTTCATGAACAGTATTTCTCATAGTTTATATTACACTGCCTTTTGAAATTAATTAATTTATTTAATTAGGTTACTTAACTTAATTAACAACTCAATTTTGTACTAAAACAAATGCTATACTTCGTCATTTTCTGTTTCTGTTTAAAATAGTATACAATTATTTGAAAAAAAATAATTTCAAAAACGTTACCTCCCTTGAAAACTGAACGTATGACGTATGTCATTGTTTACTTATATTGTTTGCTTATATAAGAAATTACGTTATATGAACATATTTAACGACTATAATGGCTGTTTCCGACGGGAATAAAGTTTTTTTGTTACCCTCCATGGTCGGTCTACGACGTCACATAATATTAAGGGGATCGTTCGTCAATTTATTTATATATATATCTCATATAAGGAGAATTTCACTCAAGATCATCTTTTAGCCCTCGTCGAGGGCTTTGAGTCTGACCAACAGTTTTTCCATACGGCCTAGTCATCTATATTAGTGTATGCAAAAACTTAGCATGATGTACAGACATTAAGTAACCTAAAAATTGTGTTAAAATTTCCCTGTTTTTCCCATAAAATACAAAGATTATATAGGGAAATACAACTGGTCAGTTTTGACCGCTTTACGAAGTTTTCCCAGAATTGCCGAGTTTTTTATGAAACCCCTAGGTGTTCTTCTACCACCTCACAAAATATCAAGGGGGGTCGTCGGAGGAAATTTTTTTTCGTAATAGAGCTCATATAAAGAGAATTTCACTCGCGGTCACTGTTTAGCCCTCGTCGAGGGCTTTGAGTGTAACCGACAGTTTTCCCTAAAGGTCAAGCCATTGTCCTAGGAACATGCAAAAAATTAGCCAGATATACTGAGCTTAAGTACCCTAAAGTCTGCGTTGAAATGACCCTCTGTTTTTCCCATAAAATACAAAGATTATATAGGGAAATACAACTGGTCAGTTTTGACCGCTTTACGAAGTTTTCCCAGAATTGCCGAGTTTTTTATGAAACCCCTAGGTGTTCTTCTACCACCTCACAAAATATCAAGGGGGGTCGTCGGAGGAAATTTTTTTTCGTAATAGAGCTCATATAAAGAGAATTTCACTCGCGGTCACTTTTTAGCCCTCGTCGAGGGCTTTGAGTGTAACCGACAGTTTTCCCTAAAGGTCAAGCCATTGTCCTAGGAACATGCAAAAAATTAGCCAGATATACTGAGCTTAAGTACCCTAAAGTCTGCGTTGAAATGACCCTCTGTTTTTCCCATAAAATACAAAGATTATATAGGGAAATACAACTGGTCAGTTTTGACCGCTTTACGAAGTTTTCCCAGATATGCCGAGTTTTTTGTGACACCCCTAGGTGTTCTTCTACCACCTCACAAAATATCAAGGGGGGTCGTCGGAGGAAATTTTTTTTCGTAATAGAGCTCATATAAAGAGAATTTCACTCGCGGTCACTTTTTAGCCCTCGTCGAGGGCTTTGAGTGTAACCGACAGTTTTCCCTAAAGGTCAAGCCATTGTCCTAGGAACATGCAAAAAATTAGCCAGATATACTGAGCTTAAGTACCCTAAAGTCTGCGTTGAAATGACCCTCTGTTTTTCCCATAAAATACAAAGATTATATAGGGAAATACAACTGGTCAGTTTTGACCGCTTTACGAAGTTTTCCCAGGTATGCCGAGTTTTTTGTGACACCCCTAGGTGTTCTTCTACCACCTCACAAAATATCAAGGGGGGTCGTCGGAGGAAATTTTTTTTCGTAATAGAGCTCATATAAAGAGAATTTCACTCGCGGTCACTTTTTAGCCCTCGTCGAGGGCTTTGAGTGTAACCGACAGTTTTCCCTAAAGGTCAAGCCATTGTCCTAGGAACATGCAAAAAATTAGCCAGATATACTGAGCTTAAGTACCCTAAAGTCTGCGTTGAAATGACCCTCTGTTTTTCCCATAAAATACAAAGATTATATAGGGAAATACAACTGGTCAGTTTTGACCGCTTTACGAAGTTTTCCCAGATATGCCGAGTTTTTTGTGACACCCCTAGGTGTTCTTCTACCACCTCACAAAATATCAAGGGGGGTCGTCGGAGGAAATTTTTTTTCGTAATAGAGCTCATATAAAGAGAATTTCACTCGCGGTCACTTTTTAGCCCTCGTCGAGGGCTTTGAGTGTAACCGACAGTTTTCCCTAAAGGTCAAGCCATTGTCCTAGGAACATGCAAAAAATTAGCCAGATATACTGAGCTTAAGTACCCTAAAGTCTGCGTTGAAATGACCCTCTGTTTTTCCCATAAAATACAAAGATTATATAGGGAAATACAACTGGTCAGTTTTGACCGCTTTACGAAGTTTTCCCAGGTATGCCGAGTTTTTTGTGACACCCCTAGGTGTTCTTCTACCACCTCACAAAATATCAAGGGGGGTCGTCGGAGGAAATTTTTTTTCGTAATAGAGCTCATATAAAGAGAATTTCACTCGCGGTCACTTTTTAGCCCTCGTCGAGGGCTTTGAGTGTAACCGACAGTTTTCCCTAAAGGTCAAGCCATTGTCCTAGGAACATGCAAAAAATTAGCCAGATATACTGAGCTTAAGTACCCTAAAGTCTGCGTTGAAATGACCCTCTGTTTTTCCCATAAAATACAAAGATTATATAGGGAAATACAACTGGTCAGTTTTGACCGCTTTACGAAGTTTTCCCAGATATGCCGAGTTTTTTGTGACACCCCTAGGTGTTCTTCTACCACCTCACAAAATATCAAGGGGGGTCGTCGGAGGAAATTTTTTTTCGTAATAGAGCTCATATAAAGAGAATTTCACTCGCGGTCACTTTTTAGCCCTCGTCGAGGGCTTTGAGTGTAACCGACAGTTTTCCCTAAAGGTCAAGCCATTGTCCTAGGAACATGCAAAAAATTAGCCAGATATACTGAGCTTAAGTACCCTAAAGTCTGCGTTGAAATGACCCTCTGTTTTTCCCATAAAATACAAAGATTATATAGGGAAATACAACTGGTCAGTTTTGACCGCTTTACGAAGTTTTCCCAGAATTGCCGAGTTTTTTATGAAACCCCTAGGTGTTCTTCTACCACCTCACAAAATATCAAGGGGGGTCGTCGGAGGAAATTTTTTTTCGTAATAGAGCTCATATAAAGAGAATTTCACTCGCGGTCACTTTTTAGCCCTCGTCGAGGGCTTTGAGTGTAACCGACAGTTTTCCCTAAAGGTCAAGCCATTGTCCTAGGAACATGCAAAAAATTAGCCAGATATACTGAGCTTAAGTACCCTAAAGTCTGCGTTGAAATGACCCTCTGTTTTTCCCATAAAATACAAAGATTATATAGGGAAATACAACTGGTCAGTTTTGACCGCTTTACGAAGTTTTCCCAGATATGCCGAGTTTTTTGTGACACCCCTAGGTGTTCTTCTACCACCTCACAAAATATCAAGGGGGGTCGTCGGAGGAAATTTTTTTTCGTAATAGAGCTCATATAAAGAGAATTTCACTCGCGGTCACTTTTTAGCCCTCGTCGAGGGCTTTGAGTGTAACCGACAGTTTTCCCTAAAGGTCAAGCCATTGTCCTAGGAACATGCAAAAAATTAGCCAGATATACTGAGCTTAAGTACCCTAAAGTCTGCGTTGAAATGACCCTCTGTTTTTCCCATAAAATACAAAGATTATATAGGGAAATACAACTGGTCAGTTTTGACCGCTTTACGAAGTTTTCCCAGGTATGCCGAGTTTTTTGTGACACCCCTAGGTGTTCTTCTACCACCTCACAAAATATCAAGGGGGGTCGTCGGAGGAAATTTTTTTTCGTAATAGAGCTCATATAAAGAGAATTTCACTCGCGGTCACTTTTTAGCCCTCGTCGAGGGCTTTGAGTGTAACCGACAGTTTTCCCTAAAGGTCAAGCCATTGTCCTAGGAACATGCAAAAAATTAGCCAGATATACTGAGCTTAAGTACCCTAAAGTCTGCGTTGAAATGACCCTCTGTTTTTCCCATAAAATACAAAGATTATATAGGGAAATACAACTGGTCAGTTTTGACCGCTTTACGAAGTTTTCCCAAATATGCCGAGTTTTTTGTGACACCCCTAGGTGTTCTTCTACCACCTCACAAAATATCAAGGGGGGTCGTCGGAGGAAATTTTTTTTCGTAATAGAGCTCATATAAAGAGAATTTCACTCGCGGTCACTTTTTAGCCCTCGTCGAGGGCTTTGAGTGTAACCGACAGTTTTCCCTAAAGGTCAAGCCATTGTCCTAGGAACATGCAAAAAATTAGCCAGATATACTGAGCTTAAGTACCCTAAAGTCTGCGTTGAAATGACCCTCTGTTTTTCCCATAAAATACAAAGATTATATAGGGAAATACAACTGGTCAGTTTTGACCGCTTTACGAAGTTTTCCCAGGTATGCCGAGTTTTTTGTGACACCCCTAGGTGTTCTTCTACCACCTCGCAAAATATCAAGGGGGGTCGTCGGAGGAAATTTATTTTCGTAATAGAGCTCATATAAAGAGAATTTCACTCGCGGTCACTTTTTAGCCCTCGTCGAGGGCTTTGAGTGTAACCGACAGTTTTCCCTAAAGGTCAAGCCATTGACCTAGGAGCATGCAAAAAATTAGCCAGATATACTGAGCTTAAGTACCCTAAAGTCTGCGTTGAAATGACCCTCTGTTTTTCCCATAAAATACAAAGATTATATAGGGAAATACAACTGGTCAGTTTTGACCGCTTTACGAAGTTTTCCCAGATATGCCGAGTTTTTTGTGACACCCCTAGGTGTTCTCCTACCACCTCACAAAATATCAAGGGGGGTCGTCGGAGGAAAAAATTTTTCGTAATAGAGCTCATATAAAGAGAATTTCACTCGCGGTCACTTTTTAGCCCTCGTCGAGGGCTTTGAGTAAGACCGACAGGTCTGCCCTACGGTCAAGCCATTTACCTATAAACATGCCAAAAATTAGCCAGATGTAAATAGGGTAAGTGCCCTAAAATCCGTTTTGAAATGACCCTCTGTTTTTCCCATAAAATACAAAGATTATATAGGGAAATACGACTGGTCAGTTTTGACCCATTTCCCGATTTTTCCCGGACATGGCGAGTTTTTTGTGACACCCCAAGGTGTTCTCCTACCACCTCACAAAATTTCAAGGGGGGTCGTCGGAGGAAAAATTTTTTCGTAATAGAGCTCATATTAAGAGAATTTCACTCGCGGTCACTTTTTAGCCCTCGTCGAGGGCTTTGAGTAAGACCGACAGGTCCGCCCTACGGTCAAGCCATTTACCTATAAACATGCCAAAAATTAGCCAGATGTAAACAGGGTAAGTGCCCTAAAATCCGTTTTGAAATGACCCTCTGTTTTTCCCATAAAATACAAAGATTATATAGGGAAATACGACTGGTCAGTTTTGACCCATTTCCCGATTTTTCCCGGACATGGCGAGTTTTTTGTGACACCCCAAGGTGTTCTCCTACCACCTCACAAAATTTCAAGGGGGGTCGTCGGAGGAAATTTTTTTTCGTAATATAGCCCATATAAGGCGCCGGTCAGTCGAGGTCAGTTTTGACCCCTTCTCCGTAGACTTTTCGGCCAACCGTCACCGGCCTTCGTGTTCTATTTCCCGAAGGCACCATCGTGCCAAATTTGACGCGCCTGCGGCGCCGGGAAGTGCCCTATCGGGCACTTGACCACTTTGCTTTATATATATAGATGACGTTTATCCTGTCATATCCAGTAATCCGTTCCACTTATTGTAACAATTACTTATTTTTTTAAAATTACACCTTATTATAATAATGAATAAACTGATCTGACACATATAGGAGACTGACGAAGTCAGGTCACATGACACCCCCCCCCCCCCCCCCCCACATGACTAATTTACATAAACCTACTTGTAATTTTATTTTTGTTTAATAAATTTACAGTAAAATAAAATTATCAATTATCAAATATTTCTAAAATATCAAAAGTTAATTATAATTTAAATTATTTTTTAAGGTATTTAGCATTTAGTACAGTGATTATTATTGTAGAAACACCAGTATGTTCAAGTGTCGAAAAAAACATTTTAATTAACATAATGGTTTGTTAATTATCGAACTCATTCGACAGCTGACGGCCACATTAACATATCTCTAAGCTCACAGTTTGACACACATCGTCCATATTTTATGCAAATCGTGATTTTCGAGTAAACGAGTTCGTGATTTAAAAAAAAACTTAAGCCGCGAATGTTGGCAGAAATCAATTGATGTTTTGTTTTGTAGTTGTACAAAAAATAATAATTAAAATTTACGTTGTACTTGATTTTGTTGTCAAAAGAAACAGTTTAAGTGGTATAATGTTTTCTGTTTGGGGTTCATATTTTGCTAAAAATTAGTAATTGCAGAGCAATATTTTGTTAGTTAAAACTAAAAAAAATGAAAACACTATGTAGGTGGGTGGGGGTGAGGGGAAACAGGGATAACTTATTCTGTGATACTACCTATCTTTTTTCGTTATGCATGTGTTCGCATATGACCGTATATTGATATAGGTAAATAAAAACCGAAGTCAGTCTTTTTAGAATTGATCGTAGATGATATCTGCATACAGCTCTGGTGTTGACGTCATTAGATTACGTGGCACGGACGTCATTTTTTGGATTAAGCTCTGGCGTCCTTGATTTTGTTGAGCAGGGCAATGGCGTCATTTTTTTGGATGGATCACCGACGTCATTTGTTGGACTGGGATATGTGGACGTTTGGTTGTTGGGACACTGACAATACTGACATTATTTGTTGGATGAGGCACTGACGTCCTGTTAGAATAGGCACTAATATAATTTGTCGAATGAGGCAAGGACGTCATGTAATGGAAAGGGCATTGGCGTGATTTTTTTGATGGATCACAGACGTCATTTGTTGTATTGGGTTATGTGGTCTTTTGTTGGGGCACTGTCACTATTTGTTGGATGGACACTGACGTCATGAGTTGGATGGACACTGATGTCATATATTGGATGGACACTGACGTCATGTGTTGGATGCGTGCACTGACGTCATGTGTTGGATGGACACTGACGTCATTTGTTGGATAGATACTGACGTCATATGTTGGATGGACATTGACGTCATGTGTTGGATGGGGCACTGACGTCATGTGTTGGATGGGGCACTGACGTCATGTGTTGGATGGGGCACTGACGTCATGTGTTGGATGGGGCACTGATGTCACTGTGATAAACGGGGCAGAGATGCCATTTTATTTGGAAGCCCCTCAAGTACACGATATTCTGGGCGTACCAAACTACCGTCGTCATAGCAACCGATTAACTTTATCTGTAACATCGATCCCCGGGGCATCAAAATCCTGCTACACTAATGACTAGACACACTCGAATACCGTTCAGCTAAAAGTAACGTTTATCTTGTACTAATGTAACCCACATCACGTGATAAGTAAGGGACGCCACTGCATGAGCTCGAGCCAGGGACTCAGTCAAAAAATATAAACGAAGAACTTTAAAACGAAGTCGAACAGTGTGGTTGGGTGATAGAACAAACAAGTACTCACCCAAAAGTCTTGGGTTCGTATACTAAGCAGTTCTGCTGTTCGGAGCCTGGTTCTAGTTGAGGTACGAAACGCAAGTAGTTATAGCGCTGACAACATTAATTTCGAGATCGTAGACATACACTACAGCCTGCTTAAAGTGTCATGATTATACAGTCGAAACGTTGATACAAAGTATAGTTTACTACTGAAAAAGATAAATTCATCAACGTATACTTTGTGATCTGATGATATTCATTAGAATTATCACCAAGTCTACAGTTAGCTAGTTGTTGTATAATATCTGCAACATTATTCACATAGTACACATCAGACTTAACAGATCATACATAGTGCATATCAAACCTAAAAACATTAAACGTAGAACCTCATTAGCAGAGTTTCTTCCAGGCATCTCTTCACATCCCTACCCCCCCCCCAAGGAAATTAAATTTATGTAGAAAAGATATACTTTTACAAGTGTCCGCTCTCTCCCCCCCCCCCCCCCCAGGAAAATTAAGTCCGCCCCCCCTCCTCACCCCCGGAGAAAAAAGTCTGACAGAAACACTGCTTATTAGACCTGACACATCACACTTAGTACCTGAAACATTACTCGCACGTTGAACCTATTCAACCTGAAACATCATACTACGTAGAACCTATTCAACCAGTGGTTGTGTTAGATATGACACATGACACGAGTATCAATGTTGTACACATCACACGAGTACCAATGTTGTGTGTTGTTTCTGTTCCAGCCATCATCTCCGTGAGTGTTCTCGTGCCACGCTTCGATGAACGCAAGGTCACTGTCGTGGCCGGGGTGGTCTACTCCGCCTGCTTCATTGGCTACTCGGTGGCACCGAACATTGGCATCTTCATTACCTTCTCGGCCGTACAAGGTACCTATACATTAACCCTATCATCTTCTATACCAGATATTTTACCCTATTTTACCAATACCACACATTTAACCCTACACTCACCGATACCACATATTTAACCCTATAATTACCAACACCACACAAATAACCTTACAAATGCCAATACCACACATTTAACCATATAATCACCAATATCATTCATTTAACCCTGTAATCACCAATATAATACATTTAACCCTACAATCGCCAATACCACATTTAACCCTATAATCGCCAATACCACACATTTAACGCTTCAATCACCAACACCACACACTTAACTCTACTATCGCCAATACCACACATTTAGCCCTACAATCACCAATATCATTCATTTAACCCTGTAATCACCAATATAATACATTTAACCCTACAATCACCAATACCACACATTTAACCCTATAATCACCAATATCATACATTTAACCCTACAATCGCCAATACCCCATTTAACCCTACAATCACCAATACCACACATTTAGCCCTACAATCACCAATATCATACATTTAACGCTACAATCGCCAATACCACACATTTAACCATACTATCACTAACACCACACATTTAACCCTATAATTACCAATACCACACACTTAACCCTACAATCACCAATATCACACATTTAACCCTACAATCCCTCTAGCCGTACACAACCAGAATTTAACCCTCTCATAACCAGTTAAAGATACTTGAACCTACTTTAACCAATTCTCATATGTTATCATGCAGATGTAAACAACCTTACAAAAGTGCTAACACCATACAGTTAAACCCAATAACCGTCAATACCAAAATTACTAAAATTAACAAAATAAAAAAAACGTATCGTTTTCGGTATGTTAAAGCAATTATACGTTTAAACAAACTCACACTTTGTCAGTATTTCTCATACCAACATTATTATTCTGCTCACAGTTTAGACTTTTTACTTTAAGGTCTAGCTATCGGATCCATGTTCGTCCCAAACATCAGCATCCTAGGCGCCTACTTCTCCAAGCGTCGGTCCCTAGCCATCAGTATAGGCAACAGCGGGATATGTGTGGCGAGCATCGTGGGGCCACCCTTCATCCGCGCCCTAGTGGGCCACTATGGGATGCGGGGGGCGTTCCTCATCCTGTCCGCCATTGAGCTCCATATGGTAGCTGTGGGCTTACTGCTGCGGCCGGTTTCCTCCTACAGGTGAGGCTCAAGTTTTTTTTCTTCTACATATATATTTTTTTCTATTTTTATTTTTGTGAATGTTATTTTGTTCAAGTCAGTATAACGTTACTTAGTCCGTCTAATTCTGATGGGTACCTAACTCACGCTAGACGGCTGGACATACACATAGTGCTGACCATATGCCGAGGTCACAGAAACTTCATCTGCCCCATGAACCGTCATGCTCGAAAAAGGAACTTTTCTTTTTACTGTACATTTAGTCTAAAATCTGTTGTTGTTTTTTTTTTTTTAAATATACACATTGAATTCCAGCAAGTTGCAAACTGAACTGAGTTTAGTTAAATTCTCCAGAACATCAGCTATATTGAGGACTCGAGTCTGCTGGGCGTCTCTGAGTCGACTCAGCTCTTATGGGTACTTTGCTCACGTTAGGAAAATTAAAGGAGGATGGGTATAGGGATGACCACACCATCCCTTCATATGCCGAAAAAAACACTAATTATACTTCATCTGCCCTATAGGTCGTTATGTCCGAAATTCAAATTTCTCTTACATAAAACACGCTTCACTGGTACTAATTCTTTTCTAATTGATGACTTCCACCCTCCCAGTATAGTGTTCAGCTGTGTATTGTCGTGTTGTTGTTGTTTTTGCAGCAAAACTCTTTACATTGTGGGGATTTGCTATCCACACAACCAAAACTCTATCTTTATCCTAGCTTAAGGAAGGTCAACGTCCTATAGGGCATTCTACATGAGAGTTCATGCTTTTCAACACACAAACATCACATACACTACAGCAGTGGGTGGGGGAGGGGTGATACCAATAACGGGGTTAATCCCAAATCCCAGTCACTTGATCCTTATGTGTCTTAATTTATGTAAATCTAGGTTAAAACTGTTATGAATCCAATGAATAAATTAGTGGTAGCAGTAGTTAATTAATTCAGGATTTATTTCATTTGACTGTTAAAAAATATTTTGGTAAACAATGGTGTTTTTATTTTTGTTTAATTAAGTAGCCAGACCTCGCTTTTACAATTTGCCTGGCAAATTATTATTTTTTTTTACACATTTCTCGTTTTCTTTTCATTACACAGCAAACTCCAAGCTGCGGGCCCAGATTCTGTATTACTAAATCAAAATGTAAATGAGACAAAAACTAAATCCGAAGATATCAAAGAGACCGATCAATCCCAAGCTGAACAAAACCTCACAGTTGACATGAAAAACAAAAAAAATCTGGGCGGCTCAGACGCAGAAAAACAGCAACTGATCTTCTCAACTACAGAAACAACACAACCGTCTTCCCCGGTTTCAAACGCTGAAGATTCAAACTTTTCTCAAATAGATTTTGATATGGAATTTTCCCCAAACAAAAAACGTCATTTCCGCCGAAATGACAGCACAGTGAGCGAAATTCTCCCCAGGGAAAAACCCCTCTACTCACGTAATGTGTCAACACGTTCTTCAACACGAGGCTCTATAAAAAGGCTCGTTCGCCAGCAAAGCCTCCAACAAAATGGCGACTCCAAGCGTCTGAATGGGAGCGTGATGAGTATCGCCAGTAACATGGAGGTGGTGGCTGTGGCGGTGGACGTCGCGCCCAGTGACGTCACGCCGCGAGCTGATGAACGCAAGGGCAAATCGTGGAGGGACTGCTGTTGTATCAAAATTGTTAGAAACATTTTTGACCCGGCGTTGTTCAAGTAAGTTTCAACCGGGTGGTTGATTTATTCCGAAAATGTGAAAACTAAAACCAATATGGTATTTTTAATGATTTGACAGTATTTTATTTTAAGACACCACACAATCTCCCCCCCCCCCCCACAATCTCAAATTCGGAATTTAACACTGTCTTGATGTGCTAAGCCGACCAATGAAATCAGGGAAAAAGTCAATTCATGCTTTAAGTATTCATGCTTTGATAAAATCAAAGTGTGTCATTTTATCCAGTTTGTCTACTATTATTATGTTTATACGGCACTAGAATGAGGGTGGGGGTACAAGACAGCAAGACACAGCAATGACAAACAGGTATTATTGCAAGAAAACTGACTGTGGGGTGGGCTTTAGAGCAGTGCTGGTGTGGTTGAGAGTATCTCTAAAAAAACTCGTTATGTGTCGGTTAGTTTAACGAACGAGCAGGCGGTAATCCATTTACCTGCATACTTACAAAAAAAAAAAAAAAAACAATTTGTGGACCCCCAACATTTTTTTAAAGCTGTGTGTTAGCGTATGTATTTTCACCTGACAAAATCTGCTAGACAGACCCGCTCATTAGCATAAATTAGATTAGGTTGAAAGTTTGAGTGACATCTGAGTTTAACTACGTGTAAGCTACAGCTTGTCTTTTTAATATTTAGTAAAACTTGAATAGACAAAAAAAAATTTTAAAAAAAATTAAAAAATTAAAAAGATAAAGGGCCATAATTTATAAATATAAACTGTATTTTTTTTTTAAATATTTTTTCCCGAGACTGGTGTTTTTTCAATAGGGCTGGTAAGTAGGTCACCAACCAGTTCTATGGCTCATGCAGGTTTTATTGAGCCGTAGAGCTGGTTGGTGACCTACTTACCAGCCCTATTGTAGAATACACAACAAAAATTGAGTTATTTCCCCTGTTACATTTTTTGTTCTGTTTTCTCTACAGACAATGGGCCTTCATCGTGTTTTTAATAACCAGTGTACCAGGGGCGACAAACCAGTACCTGTTCCAGTACATTCCAACAATAGCTGTGATCAAAGGGGCAACGAATGACCAGGGGGCCACACTCTTGACCATCACGGGCTCTGTCGATCTTGTGAGCCGGATACTGGTCGGGCTATTCGCAGACACACAACTGATCAGGGCCACACAGATTGTGTCAATAGCTCAGATTTGTTTAGGTACTTATTGCCACATTAGTCGTCCATTTTTTTTTCGTATACTTATAACTGTACTCGGCGGTAAAGTCGGTAAAGCTTATGGTTGCTAGACCATATGGTCTCGAGCTCGAACCCTCTGGCAGATGAGGCTCGTTAGCTGGGGACAGCCACTTCTAAGAGAGACAACTCCAGAGCAACTGCTGCCTTGTAGTTTGTTCTTGGTTGGACAAAGGCTATGGAAGCAAATCTAAAAAGAAAAGCCGGCTGAAATCGGAGTCAATGGCCTCAATGGCGCATAACCAGTTGACACGAATACTTAATTGTGTTGGAGTGGATCCCTTCCAACACTAAAAAATTTAGAACGAAGAAGAAGAAAAAATACCGAAAATATACATGTTTATTATATCCGTATTTAAAAATATGGCTTTATGGGGCGTGAGTGGTAGAGCGTAGGATGTGTAGCCCGGAATTCAGACATACTAGGCCTAGAAGGTGGAAAAAGTACTGACGGCTGTGTTGTATTTACCATACGATCTCTTTACATTATCTAGATCACAAAATTAGACTAACTCACTCACCCACCCCTCCCCCGACCTTAATTATGGATATATAATAGGTGCATTATTTTACCATTTAGAAAATGTGAATCAAGACACCTTAATTTTTTTTTAAAACGCACCCTTCATCTTGTACATAGCCCCCCTTCCCGTCCTAAAGAGAACGTGTAAAACCCATCATTTCATTTATCTGGCGTAACATTCCCCAGAATATTGTAAAAATCATCATTAGATTTGTACCATGTCACCTCCCTAACAATGTTTCTTCCAGACTTTTTTTCATTTATTCAATTTCTTTTGTGGAGGGGGGGGGGGGGCGAAGCAAGTCCGAAGAAATGCCTGGGAGAATCTCTGCTCAATGGAGATCTTGTAATGCCAGTAATCGCGTAAGTCTTCACTCAGTTGTACCACCTCACCTCCCCAGGTATCGTGTGCCACTGTAACCCTCTCTTCACCAACTTCGACACTCTGATCGTGATGGCGGTGCTGATGGGTGTGTTTGTGGGGACTAGACTCTCCCTGCTGCCGCTGATGCTGATAGAGATTGTGGGCATGGGCCTGCTGGCGCGGTGTCTCAGCATCACCGCCATGATCGCCACCATCTCAGCCGCCTGCCATGGGCCGCTACTCAGTAAATATTTTTTGTTAACTCCACTTGGTTTTTATATGTAGAGGAGTTGAGAGCAGGCGTCGTTATAGAAATATCAAAATGAATACGTAGCAGTGGCGTCCCTAGGTCGGGTGTTACCTGGTGCGGCAACTCATGGTGTCACCCCCCCTCCCCCCCACCCATTTTGTAGGAATCTTCAATTGGTACTGGAAAGATTTTTAACTTTAATTACTCATTAACTGAACTGGCAAAAAGCATTTTTACTTTATTTTACAATTTGTGTCTTGGTATCACCCCCGCAAATGGTGTCGCCCGGTGCGGTGCGCACCCCCCCGCCCCCGCCTCGTGACGCCTCTGATGTGTTGTGGGGTTTGGAGCAGGCGTCGTTAAATGAAATAGTAAAATTAAGATGTAGAGGGTTTTAAAGCAAGCGTCGTTACTGAAATAGCAGTATTGACTTTAATTAAGTGTAAATTTAACCTCAAAGCTAGACACAAATACAGAATACTAGCAGTATACCCGTACTCCGCCACGGTGAATCTTTTTAAATGTACCAACTTAGAACAGAACAAAAGAAAACAGAAACACAACAGAAACAACAGAAACACAACACAAACACAAAACAAACACAACACAAACACAACACAACATAACACAAACACAACACAAACACAGCACAAACAACACAAACACAACACAAACACAATACAAACACAATACAAACACAACACAAACACAACACAAACACAACACCACACAATACAAACACAAAAGAAACTGAATGAATCAGTGTTTTCAATTTAATTTCGTCCTTTCACAGGCTCCATCGTGCAAGCCAAAGGTTCCTTCCAAATCGTCCTCCATTACGTGGGCACCGCCCTCATTGTCAGCGCTATTGGGATCTTGATGACGCCATTGTTGGTGCGGCTAGATAAAAAACAGGAAGAGAAAAAATTACACGAAAAGCAGAAAAATAACGGCCCAATTTACAAGCCTAGCAGTCGATTGTAGTGGTTGTGTTAGAAACTCGTTGATGTTGCCTACAACTGGTGGTATGGTATAAAAGCTGTCTTTTTTATAAGGACCATCGTCAGCTTGTCAAAAACTTGCTTTGGACCTAGCACTTCATTTCACTGACCCTAAATCTAACAGAAGTACCAGGAAATATTTCCCCTTCCCTAAACGACTAACCACGATACTGTTTAGTCGTAACGTGTTTCTTTCATGTAACTCTACACCCCCACCCCCTTCATGATGTTTCAAGTGACCCACCCTCACATGAGAAAAATTGTGTGAAAAAAAAACCTGGTCCTACCAATGTTTCTGTAAAAAAACCTAGTTACCTTATCAAATTCCATGTGTTAATAACCTATTCCAGCCATGACTTTCCCCGGTGTTTCTTTGAGGCATCTTTTTCGGGGGGGGGGGGGAGGGGGGGGGGGGGTGGTATTGCCTCCGAACGAACGAGAATGTAAATACAATATATATAAACTTCAACCACTTTTACCCCCCCCCCCCAATCCTTTTAAAAGTTTTCAAGTTGCCCCCCCCCCCCTCGAAAAATGCCTGAAAAAAACATTGCCCTTCTTCGTTGCTCTTTGATTGCTGGCAATGGTATGCCGTTTTTACATCTAGCCTATGTAATTATAGCCCCACATTTTAGGAACATGCCAAGTGCGTTTCTACACTGAGAAGAGTGAAAACAGATGTTGTAATTAAAAACAGCCAAATGAGATGTAGTGTTATTTTAACGCTTTAGGTGGACACCTTTACAGAAATACTCACTGTGTAGATAGAACAGTATAGTCAGATGCGAACCCACCTCTACTTTACAAGGACTGTGGCCTTGACCTTTGTCTACCTTAGTCAAGTGATGTATGACTGACATTCCATTGGCTACTCTCTGAAGACACTGATCTGTTGCGACATTTCTTTAATGTGTTGATTACCGATCTGAGGTATGTGTGTGTGTGTGGGGGGGGGGGGGGGGGGGTCAGTGTTTCTTTCAGGACTTTGTCTTGGTAAGCACTTACAATTTTAGTTCGGGGGGGGGGGGGGGGGGGAGGAGATAAAACTATAGGCCAACAGCATGGTTCGTTGGATAGTTGTCCAAGGGCGGTAAGCCCTGTGAACCTACGAAGTTCAATTTTAGGAATATTGATTTATTATATTCTCCTGAAACACGCCTTTCGTTAAATTTATGTACAAAATATGTACTTTAACAAGTGTATCTGCCCCCCCCCCCCTCCCAGCAGTTTTCTTATTTCACTCGTCCCCATGTAAAAAGGGAATTTTCTAACGGCCTGTTGCACTTTTGCCAACGGTATTAGGGTCTAATTGGTCTATACAATCTGTAAATCAAAATCATGTACATACGGTTTTACATACTTTATTTTTCTGATAAACTTTTAGTTTACTAAAGTTTACACTTTGTTTTCTTTGCTAACAAGGGAAACCATTGTTTATATATAGGCTATACATATATAAAAAGCCTTGTAATTGAGCTATGTTATCTTATGTTATTAGTTATGATAATTTAGTGATGATTTTAAACTTAGAATTAGGGTTATGTAAATCATATTTTCTCTGTATACTAGACATGAAGAATGGGTATTTTAATTTAAATTTATAAATAGCATCCATATTTTGATTGTTTTTATTGAAAAGATTTATTTCATATACATACACGTAAGTCATATTGAAGTCAGTCGACATTGACTTTTAGTAAACACATTTTTTGACTAATTATACCCAAGCTGCCCCTGTAAATTAATTGGATATTTTAATCTGAACTTTGTGTACCTGAACCTAAATGTGTCATAGTGCCTAATGACATGTTAAAATGGTGTTGAAGATGAAATGACAAAATGGTGTTGTTTATCATGTCATAAGAAAAATGTTAAATATGACGTGATAAAATGGTGTTGAATATAACACAACAAACTGTTGTTTATATGACTATATGGTGTTGAATAATACATGACAAAATGGTGTTGAATATGACATAACAGTGTTGTATATTACATGACAAAATGATATAGTATATGAAAGCAAAGTGTTGAATATGACATTGCAAAATGGGTCATGGGGTTGAATAAGATAAAGTGACATGTCTAAAATTTGTTAAATGACAAGTATATTTGAATAATAAGGCATGACAGGTTTAAAAATTGATGTTGCATGACAAGTTGTTCTACATGACATAATAACATTTAACTTTTGTGGGTTAAACTAATGTATGTTTTGGACCAGTGCTTCTTTACATTGTTATATTTTAACATGCCTTATGTTGGGACATTAAAACATCCACTATATTCAGTGTTTTAAGTTTGTTGATGTAAATGTGAGGTTGGAGGATTTATTAATATATACAATTTTTTTTATATTTAAGCAGCATTAGATGTATATATCCAGTACTAATATATCTAACACACATTGTATTTCACACACCAAGTCAATTATTTGGTTGTAAAAACATCAAAAATTAAATCACCTCAACTCTTCAGTCAATAAAACAACAAAAGACCATTACATTCTTATTCACTTTTATTCCTATTAAACATCTGCCAACATGTATGAGTAATATTTCTACAAGCCTATACACTTGGAATGTAAGCCAATTCCTAAATTTCAGAATCTACTACATTAATTAAATATATTCACCATATAAAAAAGAAGGAAATTTGTTTTTGTTTCAGTACATCCAGGTTTCTTCATGAGGAAATTAAACAGTAATAGTAATGGAAATAAAAATTGAAAAACTTTGCTCTTTACAATATTTTCCATTGAAACATTTTTTCCCCAAAAATAAAATAAAAATACAACTCACTTCGCTCTTTTTTAAAATTAAACAAACACGACAACAAATCCAGTCATAGAATATATTGTCTGCTTAAATAAAATTACACTTTAAACTAGGCTCCAATGATTTGGCTATACAAACTTTCATGACAAAAAAAAATTGTGATAAATAAATAAAACAAGAATAATGATATACAAAATAATATTATAGGTATTTATACAAAGCTCGTTTTGATTAACTAATTGAGAATTTTAAAATTAACTGTTGACATAGTAATTTGATGTTTTAAAAAAATGTAATCAATGAAATGTTATCACATAAATATGCAGAACACAAACAAATGGTGCTATGAATAAATTATTGCAACTTCGACAGAAGCTACAATCTACCAATAGTGTGCTGATGGCCACCAACAGACCTATCAGCTGTTGCAAGAATTATTGCACGTCGAAAACTTCTACACACCAAACTACACAGCTAAACTAACACATAGGACACTGTGCAAACACAGTAAAATAATGACAAAATTTTTGTGTAGCACTATTCCATGTAGTCTTTCCACACATAAAAAAAAACGGGAATGTGTTAAATTCAACACAATGTTTTAACCGCTAGTTTACAGTAAATCTACTTTGTATTCTGGCATTTGCTATCACTGTGTAACACTTAAATACTCTTTAAAATGGTAATGGTTGTGCTATGCTTCAAAAGAAAATTAAAATAGTGGGTAATTAGTGTAGACCCAATAAAAATGCAATCCATATTAACTTATTATAATGCAGTAACTAAGTAAACCAGAATTGAGTAAGTGACAAACTTACACCGAGCATCTAAAACTGAGTACTTTGATTCAATTTGAGATAACTAACAAATGGTATAGTATAAACAAAAAAGAATAAATTTGTTCTAGATAGAATAAACTTTTTACAGTGACATCAATAAATAAAAAGATTGATTAGATATGCTGTAGACCAGTGACTGCAAGTTAATTGAGCATGGAATGTCTGTCGTAAATGTTCCTGCGCTGTTCCTGGACAGTTCCCTTCCACTTCTTCTGTTCCTTCTGCACAATGTTGAGCAATGAGCGCTGCCTGGCAGCCATGTCTGCTGATATTGTAGGAGTTGTGGCCCCTTCTGGTCTGGTGCCTGATAGGTCTTCCTGCAAATACAAGACAAAAAAACCTTCAATGGTGCCAAATGGATTGGACAAACTCACAGCTAAATTGATCATTGATCACAATGGTATTGTTCTTTATCTTTGGTGTAGTATTAAAATTTCCAACATAACTGAATCAGACATTTTGAATAAAAACATCTGAGATAAATCATACTAAGATATTTCTATTGAACAATGGGCTATGTATAAATATCAAGCTGTTCAAATGGTGCTACCATTCAAATGTACATAGGTTGATTTTAGCAGAATACTAACAACAAAGATGGACTTAGCAATCAATATTTTAATACATTGTTATTTATCTTAATAGTTAAGTTTTAAAAATGATATAAGCATTGTAAATGATTTGTGTTAGGATCAGTTTATGTAATGAATGGTGTGAGAAATGTAAGTCTGCTTGTAAAGCTACATGCAGACAACTACTAGTCTATAGCTTGTCAGGCTAACTCATGCATCCAGCCATCACTGATCTATCCTAACTCATGCATCCAGCCACCAGTGATTTATCTTAACTGAGTGTGCAGTCAGTGAAAGTATTACAGCATGCAAGAGAGGTCAAAACATTCTGATTACTAAAGAATTAACTGATTTCAAAATATCAGATTAAATTAACAACTGAATTAGTAAAGGAGATAAAATATTTTAGTAATATAAACATATTTTAAAATGTTTGAGTAATACATTTTGTAATGAATATAAGATATAAAGTGTGTATTTATATAAGTAAGACAATTTTTAAAAATAATTCCTGATATTTCTCTTTTACCATCAACTGATTTCTTAAAATTGAAATTTGCCAGATATAAACTTTGATTAGGGACTATCTGCAGAAAATTATAGGACTGTTACAATATCCGGTCTCTAATATGGCCAAACGTGAGGTGAAATACAACACAGCACAGCCAACAGGGTAGTGAAGATAACATTTTCTTTATCAATATAAGCACAAAATCATTATGTGATCAATCAAGAGGTGTGACTAATACCCTTAACTTTATTCAACGGTTTCAAAACTTTGTCACTGCGTATTTCATGAAAACTGCCCAAAAATACCTCACTGCTGTTTCTCATTAAATATTTACATTTTACTTGCATGCTTATAGCTATTCATATAAGCTTAATAATTGTTGGTCTAAGCTTCAAAGGAGCAGGCCACATATGGTAGTATAATTTTAAAAAGACAAAACTTCCGACATTGGGATGAGGAGGATTGGATAGCAAATACATTATGAACACCATTTTAAACTGCCTCCAGAAACAAAGTGTGCTTTTCATGACATTGGTGTTTTATTGTTTATACCTCCTTAATTATATAGACTCTATATTTTGGTAAATCTTTATACAAAATCCCTATCAATAGCCTGTGTCTCCCCCACAGATGAAATGCATTAAACAGTTTTTCTTAAAGTAAGATGCTATAAGATACAGCAAAAGATTTCATAAGTTGATTCTTTAATGATGTAAGTAGGTTCATAGAAATAAAAACATGTTGACATGTAGGCCAAACTTATGCAGCACAACGGGAAACATAAGACACTGAGAAATTTGTGTTTGGCTTCAAGGTGGTGGGTGTGATCACCAAGTACTACATCTCCATCTTCCCATGTTAAATTTGACATACAACATGCAAGTGCTGTTTATACAGGTGTCAACGATCTATCGCCTACAGCAATTGAAAATGTTAGCAAGTTAAGCAATTTTTTTTTATTATTTAAGAAGGGAAAAAAAATCCAAACAAAACCTGAATCGCAGCCTCTGTCGACTGAAAATAAACAGTTAGACAACAGGTTTCTTAAGGGGGAAAAAGTCTAGTTTAAATGTACATGAACTCACAATAACATGACTAAACAATGATAACTGAACTCTAAAGATAAACAATGAGAACAAATGATAAAGTGCTTTCTAAATCGTGTACAAGAATATATGAGACTGGTCTCATTAAAAAAAAAATGCTCACTTAATTAAATTCAGTGAATTTTAAAATTTAAAATGAAATTTAAAAAATGCTTAGTCCTGAAACAGATTGAAATCATAAAGAAAATTCCAACAACAAAACAAAAACACAGTCAAAGCAACAAATAGGCTACTCCATGCATTACCATAAATAATTGTTTCTTCTAACTAAAAAAAAATACTGAACTGCTTTTGTTTCTAATACAACAAGTAAAAAAAAAGTGTTAAATTTTAAATTTGCTAAATCTGTTTCTGTTATTGGCGGCTTTTCTGAACCTAATTTGAAATTATTACTACATTATCATAAAAAGTAAACCAACCCCAAACTGATTATTTTAATCTTAAACCAAAAATTAACTTAGAAAGTTTAACAGAAAAATGCACAAATGTAAAAAAAAACCAGTTACGAGCAATACTAAAAAAATGTTAATGTTGACCTACTTGTCTAATGTTATAGAAATTTTAATGTCAAGCTAATGTATCTATTAAAAAATCAAACTACTTCAACATTAGCTACACACTTGAAGTAAAAGGAGTGAAAAATTCTCATGTTCAAAATCAACTGCTGTAATTTCTTTTTTTAAATTTTGCATGACCAGTGATAAAAATGTTAGTTGCATGTACTGTAAAAAAACTAATTTTATATCTAAAAAACTGATCTGGCATAAGCTGATTATTTATTTATTACATGCTAATCTAGAATAATTGTTACACTGTTTAGATATTACTGTGTGCTAACAAATCATAAGTCCACGAATGAGCTAAAATAACGAGCGAGCCCCAGTTAATCCCGTAAATAAGATATGTAAAAAAGCCGCCGTGAGCCCACAGCCAAATGGTTACCATATTCACCTCCTCGTTGGTGTGTTGCTGGTAGTTTGGCCGTCTCTGGATGATTGGGTCCAGGCACATGAGGAACAGCATGTAGACAAACAGCAGGGAGATCACACAGATTATGAAGATCACTACTACCTGGAAGATCAAACAACAATCCATTCACAAGTTGGCAGGATCATTCTTTCTAAGTTATCTTCAATAATACTATAAAAACTAACAAATCTTTCTTTGAAAAGTAAACAAAAACATTTTAAAATTTGGTTTTAATGTATCTTAATAATTATACATAAAATTAATTTTTAAAAGATTTTAATGACTTAATTTATTTATATAAAATTCTAAATGAAGAAACTTTTTAAAAAATGAAAACAAAATGAATACTATGATTATAAAATGTCAACATATCAAAACATAAAATACCATAAAATGTTGAAAAACTAGTGAGTAAAGTGCAAATTTGAATTCAATAATGTTACCCTAATAGGTGTGAAGAAACTGGCTAGATATGGAAGCATTGACTAACATTACTCTAATAATCATGACAGACAATCCCTTGACGGAGAGATGATTGAATGTTACCTTAATGGTTGTTGTGTTTCTGGTTTCTGTTCTACACAAACACCTTGAGCAGAGCATGCCGGGGGATATAGGCCTCACAACATGTTCACAGTCGCTGAAATAAAAATAAATGGATTAACAAATTACTTTAAACCCTAAGAAAATTGTGTGCCAGATTTAAACTTCAAGTAACATGAGCTATGTGTGGTAGTAGCTGGTTTGATTAGAAATCTTACAACATTCAAATCTTAAAATATGATATGTATTAAAGGATATTTTATTATTAAAGAAAAGGTTGATGTTTTTTATGTACCAGAGTTCACTTCTTGTGGTGTTTGTGAAAACTGCTCGCTTCTTCTGACCAGCATCATAGGTCTTGTCACACACACACTTACATCTAGTGTCCTCAAAGCTGGCAGCCTGAAAAATAGTTAAAATACAATCATTCAAACTAGATAATTCACACTCTACTTCGTTCCCAAAGTAGGCCTATAGGTTTAAAATATCATATATAGTAGCGAGGCTCACTAACTCGAAAGCGTCCTTGGTTGCTAACCAGAACATGGCTACCACACCTTGGCCTACGATTGGGCAATTTTTTCAGCTTTGTTCGAGAGACCACCTTAACATTAACATTAAAAATAATTATCACGCGAAAAATGGCGTTTTTTTTTTGCGTATTTTAAGCTATCTGAAGATGACAAAGCTATTTTTGCCAGAAAAAAAAATTAAAATTTGCTTCCGACAATGTAGGTCAAATGTAAACATGGGTATAGTTTGAGTTGTTTAAAAACTTTAAATAATGGTCTGTTAGGTGTCCAAATGGCACTGTACGGTAGGCTATTATTAGACTGATCGTTTAGTGAAAAAATATTGTAATTATTTTATAACCATTTTAAGAAATCGGCGCCCAAAAAAGGTCACTGAAAGCACATAATTTTTAATTGTGACGTCATCGCTATTGTGATGGATGCTGTACGGAAGTATGCGCAATAGACGCTAAAAGGGTTGTATATTATTTCAAATGGGCTCACAATTTGGCCTTGATTTCCTGCGTAATTAGGCTAATTGAGAATCATTAGTGATCTTTTACCTGGCCATGTGATGATAGGTATCTTACAAGGCTATAAAAGCCCGCGAAACACATCGATCTACCCTTCAGATTGGTATTGGTGAGAGTATTTGATGCATACTTATTATAGCAAGGATAACTAACTTGAAAGCGTCTCTGGTTGCTAACAACACAGTAGCGTAGCGAGGGGGGGGGGGGGGGGGCGGGGGGGACACATGTCCCCGGGCGCCGAGCTTAGGGGGCGCCAAAATGGGTTGGAAAAATAAATTGAAAGGTTGAGGGGGGTGCAAATTGAAAGTTTGAGGGGGGTGCAAATCAAAATCTCGAAGGGGGGGGGGGTGCAAATCGAAAGTTTGAGGGGGGGGGGTGCAAATCAAAATCTCGAGGGGGGGTGCTAATCGAAAAGTTTGTCCCCGGGCGCCGGGAAGGGTCGCTACGCCTCTGTAACAACAACATGGCGTCCTACACCGGACGATTAGTTTCGGACATTTTTCTTGTCTGCCCAAGTGACTTTATAGGAATTCGTTTTTAAAATGTTTACCTCGTGAAAAATTGCGGTTTTTTCACAAAATGTAAACAAACTATAGTTGGCAGTGCTAAATATGCCAGAGAAACGCTATAAATTGCTTTGGATAATGAAGACCGAAGCTCAAAAAGTGGTGCCGACAAACATTCGTAGATCTTTTTAAATATTAGCAACTACGATGTAGATCGGAAACCGAAAGTACATCACTATTAGATTTAACAGTCTGTGTAAAAATAAATCGAATATTACATGCGCTAATTTTTTAAAAAATTCTCCAAAACGGTCACCACCAGAAGTAAAAATTCCATAACCCACGTGACCGCTATTGGGCGGCAGACGTTCGCCTAGGTGGCTCTATCGACTCTTTACTACGTTTGTGTTGACAAGCGTTAAGTGAATATTTTCCAATTTTGATTTTTACATTGCTGGACAAATTAATTAAGTATTTCGATCTGAACACGGGAAGATAGGAATTAGTTGGTATTTCTGTAAAAGCCCGTAAACCTGTGATCTCGTGGTGAAACGCGATCTCGAAAAAGTCTAGGTGCTAAATTAATTACTTGATTTTATTATTACTAATTACTACTAGATCGAATTATAGTTAATATTATTTTCATTTGCTTTCATTTTTATATAATTGATTATTATGATTTAGATCCAGAAGGGCTAGGCTAATAAATTATAATAATCATATTAGAGGACAGCCTGCATAAACAAAAAGTTTGCATTCTTAGATCTAGATCTAGTTGACACAGTACAGGGACTTGCGCACACGCTCGCGTGACGAAAGAACGCAAGCGGGCTCGTGACGAATTTGCATAATTTTTCACTCACAAGTGATCAACGTTAATGTGATAGGCGTAGCCTAACAATCTTTAAATAGATCTATCTAGATCTACACACCAGCTCTAGATACAAATTTAAGTATTAAAACTCCACCTGGATCTAGCTTCGGACGGGCGATGTTTCTCTCGTTGACAAAACAACGCGAGCGAGCCGTCACTACGCACAGCCTATGAGTGGCGATGTTTGGAATGCATTTCTCGCTCACATGTGATGAAATTTAATGCAACGACAGTTTTAAAAATAAAAACAGATATTTTATTATGCCTATATACTTTTTTTTTTAATATTTAAAACTCAGCCTAGACAAAGCTTCCATGCTGGATAAGGGAGGAGGGTTAGATTCCGCCGTTAACTCAATCTATGTATTATTATGCATAATTGTCCTAATTAAACATTCCTATTTACACTGATTAATCAAGACTGAATAAAACGTGAAAATGAATACCTTTAAAAAGTTTAGATCTATATATTTTTAAACATTTATACGTGATTATTTTTGGTTCATTCATTTGGCGTGTGCTAAAAATATAGTAAATAGATTACATAACCAAGTTACGAGTATCATTTCGATTTCGTTTTATTGCAGCATACCTCCACTTCCCCCTCCCCACACATGATCCTTACGAACCTCCTAGGTAGTTTTCAGGTCAACTTTAGGAATCAGATCTCAGACTGGTTGTCATGGAAAAATCTTTCACAGCTAAGCTGTATGGCACCAATAATTAAAATCATGTATTTTAGTTCATAATGAGCTAAAATCATCAAATGTAGTGCCTAGTTAGTTAGAAAAATATCTCTAGCTTTTATTGGTATTGGTTAAAAAAATAAAAAATTAAAATTAAGATTTAGTGAGCCTCGCTAATATATAGCCCACATAGAAAAAATAAAATCAGTGGCATAAAAATTGAGGCACCCAAGAATTAGGTATAATAAAGCCACTGTGCAATGAAGGCCTGCATACGACCATTTTAATGTATTATTATATTTTATATTGGAACTGGAAGAGAGAGTTTTGTGAAGTCATTTGGGGAGGGAGGGGTCTGGCTTTTTTTTTTAAGCATGTGATGACTGATGATGGGGGGGGGGATATTATCAGTTTATATTTTATAATTTTTCTATTTCGTCCAGGGGGGGGGGGGGGTCCTAACATCCCAAGTCTGGTCAAGAATTCAGAATAGGAAGTTACCTCGACAAGTGATAGCGAACTGTAAGAAAGCAAAACAAGAAGAACGGATAAACACGTCACAATCCAGAGTGATGCGCTAGCCATTTTCTGTAATTTGAATGTGACACAATATAGATCTAGAGTCTAAGTCTATTTAATGAAGATCAAAACATTTTTTGAGCAACTAGATCTAGTTCTATGAATGTCTAGTAGATCTAGAATCTAGATCTAGATTCTTAATTTACTAAGCTACGTTTTGTTCTGGGATCAGCCTTGTTGATAATAATAATATGATGCCAAATTTTTCTGCATTTTATTTCTATGAAAAATTCCGATTTCTAATATTTGTAAAACATCTGTAAAATGCAGTTCGTTGTTACTTCAGATTAAATTATAAAGCACCATTTTGATAATAGCTAAAAATATAAAAAATACGTTTGATTTAGTTATATTATATTAATAATAAAGATCCAAAAGAAAAGCAAAAATATCTAGATATCTACTATAAGATATAGGCCTTACATTTGGTTTTTAGTTTAGCCACAGGAAGTAGCAACAACCTAAAAATGGTTTTATTCAGCTTAGCTTAAGTCGATTTCCTACTGTCAGAAAAAAAAAGAATAATGCTGAGCGGTCACACGGTGTAGACTAGACGATTAGACGAAATTCATAATATCTTACAATACTGCCTTTGATTTTTAGAATTATTTGCCACTAAGCAAAGTTTGAATAATAGCTTGGCTCCATTGGCTAATATATTTTAGTTCCGTTATAATATAGAAAAGGCTTTTATAAACCAAAGTTTGTTTCGGATATTTGTCTCCATCGGAAGCGCAGGGGAGGGGGGGCAGTGTTTCTTCCAGACTTGTTTCTCCGGGGGGGGGGGGGGGGCACTTGAAATCTTCGGCGGGGGGGGCGGTAAACTTTCTTCGGGGGGGGGGGGGGGCGGACACTGTTAAAAGTATATATTTTCTATATAAATTATATAAATTTCATTTCGTTCGGGGGGGGGGGCGGTAAATTTTTTCGGGGGGGGGGGGTGGGGTTGACATTGGTAAAAGTATATATTTTCTTTATAAATTTCTATATAAATTCTATTTTGTTCGGGGAGGGGGAGGGAAGGGGAAGTTGACATTATTCGTTCCTCCACCCCCCCCCCCCCCCCCAGAAAAGATGACTGGAAGATACTCTGTTCGCAAGACTAATTGTGCTTACGACAGACTTTTTTTTCACGCATCTCTTCAGAAGGGGTAAAGAGGGTACGTTCAACCCTCACCCCCAATTTGCGAAAAGACCGACTTCGTGACTTGGCCGCAAAATAGACATAAAGACAAAAGAAAGCGTTGTTGACAATAGCCGTAACTTAATTTTATTTACATTTATTTCATTATGATTTTTTAAAATTAATCTTTTAAAGTACTTAATAAAGGTAAATAGAATCAAGTCTTCTTTCTTATGTAAAGATACTGAGTTCTGAACAATTATCTGTTGTAAATACATGCCTCTGTTATTAAAGATCATTTATTTGTAAACATTTATTAATCATCGCTGTGTGGAAGGGAAAATAAGAAACATCGTTAGCCACGCGCCCGTTGTATTTCCCCATAACGGACAAAATTTCTAGTAAATAAAGCGTGTCAGCAGATGCGATGTAAGGGAAATAAGCTACCATTATTTAGAAGTAAGCAGGGTTACTCTTTGTCACCGTTAACTTGTGATCCCTTATAATAAAACATAGGCCTATGGATTGGTCTGCAGATGTTACATCATCACGTTTTTGTTTGAATTTATTTACAACCTGTAATGTTCAATGTGTTTTAAATACCCAGAAAATATTGTTATAGCTCAGCATGAATGAGCAACTAAGTTCTAAATGCCGTTGCTAAGCTCCCAGGTAAAAGACCACTGTAGAAACTTAGGATTAACCTCATTGTCCTAGCAAAAATAAGAAAATTAATTTTAAAAATGTATCTCTACATGAATAAATGTGTGTATTCTTGTTAATGATTGTTAATAAATAAACGATTTGAATAAATTGCCTTTTATTTGCTCGGTTTTAGGAACGAATGTTGCCCATCAAAGCTCTGAAGCAGACATGCGATAGTCTGTCAAATGTCTATAAGTAGAAGATGTAAGTTGACCATAATTAGTTTAAACTTATTATATAGACTCTAAAGCAGACAATTCTTATTTCAACTGTAATATCTATAGAAAAGGTTTAATTTCTTATTAAGATTCAGGCGACATACATGTTTTATTTTAGTGCATATGAAATCTGTTTTTTGTAACAGTTTTGAATAGTTGTATATATTTGTAAGGGTTTTACATGACCCACCACTTCATGATCGAGCCCTAAATGCTGGATTTATCTCAAAAACAAGTAAAGATGATATTGGCCCTCGCTGTTATTTTCTTCTACATCCGTGATGCCATCTTTTCCTGGAAATATTTGGTGTACGATCCGGTACAGGTAAGATTTAATTACGTATGCAGCTACTATTATAGCTTCAGGGGAAAGTCTTTTTCTTTCATTATGAGACTTTTGCGTAGACCGGCTTGTGTCAGTAGATGTTAAGATCAAGATTTAGTTTGAGACAGTGGCGTAGGCAAGGGGGGTTAGGGGGGGGGGGGTCATAACCCCCCATAGACCCCTCGGTATATATATATAAAGTATGAGGGGGGTGCAAATCGAAAGTTTGAGGGGGGGGGGGTGCAAATCGAAAGTTTGTCCCCGGGTAAAAATTGGAACCTCCCCCCCCCCCCTTGAGACGGGTAAACGGAAAAAAAGTCACAGGAAAAAAAAACACAGAAAAAAAGTCACAGTTTTTGCTAGGAAAAAAAGTCACAGAAAAAAAGTCACAGTGGAAAAATTTTATCGGATAAAAAGTCACAGAAATAAAGTCACAGAAAAAAAGTCACAAAAATCTTTTTAGAAATATTTTTATTAATTTGTTAAGAATTGTAAAATTTTGTATGTTTATTGTTGTGGGTTGTATTTTTTGATAGCATAAATTATTTATAGACGTTAAAAGCATTATGATTTATAACACTTGTAAGTAAAAATACTCTAAGATAATTTACACAACAATCTCAACTTGTAACGTATTTAGTTAAATACGCGGTAGAAAAGTTAATTATAAAAGAAATTTAGGCAAATTTTGCCGTAGGCTATTCTCTGGTCGGCCTCTCCTCAGTAGGCATTGTCCGAACATATTTTGTGTTGTTGACGTTACGCGTCAATGACAGCCTTTGAACCTTGTCGGCTTTCTGTTTTGATCCTAAGTTTTGTTATGTAATGAGCGTGATAGATGTGGGCAGTAAAGGTGGTTGAACTAAACATAACTATTGTTGCCATGAGTTGAGGGCAGCAAGTCAGATGAACTTACCATTTCACGGTAATTTAATATTGGTATTTTTAAAAAAAACACGATGAAAACCGTGGACTTTTGAGCATTCTATTAAATGCTACTAATCTTAAGTTTAAAATAATTACAATCTACATACTTCATAATAAATATTTTTAGATGAATCATAAAAATTCCTATGCGTATACAGCCTACACATTACATTACATTTAATTAATCCTAAGTTAATTTGCACTCTTTAAATATTTAATACATAAAAGTATTAACAAATATCATGCAAATATATATTTGTGACTTTTTTTCCTGTGACTTTTTTCCTGTGACTTTTTTTCCTGTGACTTTTTTTCTGTGTTTTTTTTTCCTGTGTTTTTTTTTTCCTGTGACTTTTTTTCCTACAATCTTGAGACGATCCTGGCTACGCCACTGGTTTGAGAGATAGTATTATGCAGGTGATGCTAAGACTATTTTCATAGAGGCGCTTGTTTTGGACTAAAACAAAACAAGTTTACAAGAAAAAAAATTCAGAAATTACAAGGTTTAATCGGCCAATAACAATATTTCCATGTGTGATGTTATGGTTTTTAACTACCCATCGGTTATTAGGCGAGTTATTCTTTCTTCTTTGTATTCACGGCGTGCAGTGGCGCGCATGACAACAAAACGAGCCGCAGTTTTGTAATGATGTCTGTTTCACCGCAGTTTACGTTTCTACTAATAGTTATATTTGTTCTGAAACAACATCGGGGGCGTCACAAGGCGGAGGCGCGAAGGACTGTCCGCACCGGATTACACCATTTTGACGTTGGCATAAAATTAAAGCATATGTAACATGTAGGCCCTACTGCAGGGGCGTAGCGAGGGGGGGCGGGGGTTGCGGACCGCACCGGGTGACACCATTTAGGGGGGTGACACCAAGGCAAAAAATATCAAAATATATAGAGAAAAACTTGAGGGGGGGGGGGGTGCAAATCGAAAGTTTGAGGGGGGGGGGGTGCAAATCGAAAACTTGAGGGGGGTGCAAATCGAAAGTTTGAGGGGGGGGGGGGTGCAAATCGAAAACTTGAAAGTTTGTCCACGGGAAGGGTCGCAACGCCTCTGGAGGGGTGACACCATTAAGTGCCGCACCGGGTGACACCCGACCTCGCTACGCCCTACTGTCAAAACAATGTTTTATATCCAGTTAAAATAACAATAGCAGTGGAGGTGGTGGCACCGAATTTATAATGCAAAATTGTTGGAGGGGTGGGGCAACATCCCCAGTTACCGCTCCGAGAGACACCCGACCTAGTGAAAATAATGTTAAGCAGCTAAAGAAATATGTTGAACAGCAAGAACAAGAAAAAAGATATGATTGTATTAGTAGTAATAGATTAAAGCCCACTAAAATTGAACAAAGGATTTGAAAATAATTTTTTTTTAAAATGAAGTCAAAGATTAAGGTTTGGATTTAAAGCAGCAACAAAAATGTGTTGGATAGCAAGAACAAGAGCAAGATATGATTATATCTGTAGCAGGGGCGGCGCGAGGCTGGCGCGTTGGTGCGCACCATGGTGAAAAATTGCAAAATATACAGAAGAAAATGTTTTTTGCCTGTTCAATTAATTAACGCCATTTGGCAAAATGGGAAAGCGAAGTGACCAAATGTATATATATATATATATATATATATAAATATATATATATATATATATATATATATATATATATATATATATATATATATAGGCTTTTTTCTGGGGGGGGGGGGGGGGGGGGTTGACTCCATGAGGTCCCGCACCGGGGGATACCCGACCTCGCGACGCCACTGATCTGTAGTAATAAACGAAAAAAACCACTAAAACTGTACAAGGGTTTGAAAACACATTTAAAAAAATGAAGTCAAAGATTAAGGTATGGATTTTATCCGTACCAGTACAGATCACCTCAACGATTGTTTA